CTCCCTTCCTGTATGAAATCAATCCTATATAATAAAAGCCTAATATGCTAAGTGTCCAGTCTACCAGTCAACTGTTCAACCAATCAAAGCATAATATTGAAATGATATGCTAAGGTTGCCCAACTGCTGCCTATCTCATGCATTGACAACCAGGGACAAGACATTCAGACTGGTAGGTCAGCTTGCTGCTGGCGTCTGGCTGATCGGGACGGAGTGTGACAGGATGGACATGCCCTGGAGCCATCCTATGGTCCCTTCTCAGCTCGCCAACCCCCCACATCCCACCCAGGCCCTGATCTTGCCCCACTGGTGTCCCAAGACATGGCCTGCCCCTTCTGGCATTACGGGACCCTTTGGGGGATGTCGGAGAGCCGGTTTCACACGATCACCCCGGCCAACCCCAGGGACCCCTGTAGTGCACAAATTCGTGCACCGGGCCTCTCGTAAAAATATATTTAAAGAACACACCAAGTCTTCGATTTCCATGGGCGATGAAATTGGGAACCAGTTCCTAAGAGCATTTGTTCATCTTCCAATAATATAAACAAGAATTTTAGCTCAGATTCCGCAAATATGGAGATTGCCCACAGTATATATATTTCATTGCGTTGGCGATTAGTTACCTCCGAGGGAGCTTCCATTGCCATTAGAAAAAATCCCGTGATTTCCAAGAAAGGGGACGTCGTGTTAACTGTGTCTATAATTTGTTTCCCATAACTTTTCCACTCGTAGAACTGATTTGTTCTCATTGTGTGTGGAGTTTCTTGCCCCAATAACCCTAGAAATTTTGTTTTCTCACCTTCCCCCAAAAGTTTACATTTGTTATTTTTCTTTGTTTTTACTGGTAATTTTGATGCATCTGAAGTGGATTTCACATCCTTGTTGGGTTTTGAGGGTCTGACCCATGACCGGCCTTTTTAAGGAGGGTTATGGAAAATTTTAGATTATCACACACTCCCCCCGCCAACACCACATATTAAAAGAAATGAAAGCATCGTTTTCTCTACTGCCCTTCAGAAAAAATCTGGTTTTATGTGTGTGTATGTGTATGTTTTTAATAAATATGTGTTTACTGATTTCAGAGAGGAAGGGAGAGTGAGAGAGAGAGAAACATTAATGATGAGAGAGAACCATTGATTGGCTGCCTCTGCCCGCCCCACACTGGGGATGTGCCCCGACCCAGAATTGAACCGTGACCTCCTGATTCATAGGTCGATGTTCAACCACTGAGCCCCACCCCCATGACT